CTCACGGAGTCTGCCCCATGAGTGTGTCGCTTATGGATGTGAAGAGTTGTTATCTGGTATGATCTCACTCTGACCACTGGTTACACTGGCTCTTAGATCTCCAAGGAGGTGCAGAGTCAGCCACTGCTGGAGGCCACCCAGCAGGAACTTCAGAGAGATCTGCAGATTCCTCTTCTTTGTTTGGAGTTTGGAGGTGCCCAGATGAGGCCCAGCTGTGAAGCAATGCAAGGTGCTGTGGGGCCTTGGGCCTTCTCTTGGAAGTTCTGGGTCTGTCTGGCCCAGCTGCAGTTAGTTAGGTAATTTTAGATTGCAAAGGGCCAGGGAATTCATATGCAAAAGCCCCTGCACACAACTTGGGTGAGGCGGGATCTCAGGGAATCAACAGGGGGGAGCAAACAGCTATGGCTGATCCTCAGCCATGCCCTAAGAGGCCCCGGGTCTCACTGTTCCATGGTAATTGCTGCAAGCACCTCTGAGAGAAAGCCGCCCTCAAGTTCTGACCGATGCCAGACAGTCCAGTTTCTTCCCGTATGAGTCTGGGTCCCCAGAGGCTCACCCAAAACTGGAGTTCAGAGCAGTCTTGAGCTTGTGTCTCCCTCCCGATTGAAAAAGATAGCTGTGTCCTCAGTTGCCAGCCCTTTCCACGTGGGCCTCCATACCTCTGCTCTTTACTTCCACACCGCACCTTCTCTGAGTCTCAGTGTGCTTTTCTCTTTCCTTTTAGTTGTAGAATTTCCACTCGGCCAGCCTTCCTGTGTTTCTGGATGATGTCCGTTTTGTCTTTTAGTTGTATTTTTGAATTGGTTGTGCGAGGCAGCAATTTCCGGTGTTTACCTATGCCGCCATCTTGGATTCTCTTTATATTTATTATTATCATTATTTTAATCCTCATCTGAGGATATTTTTTCATTGATTTTTAGAAAGAGTGGGAGAGAGAGGGAAAGACAGAGAGAAATATCGATGTGGGATATTGGTTGCCACATCACTTGGTTGCCTCCTGCACACTCCCTGACCAGGGCCCAGGCTGGGAGGAGCTTGCAACCACGGTACATGTCCTTGACTGGAATTGAACCTGGAGCCCTTCATTCCACTGGCCAACATTCTATCTACTGAGCCAAACTGTCCAGGGCCATTATTTTTTGTTGTTGATTGCAGTATATAATTAATAATTTTATCTTTTTCATTCTGTAGATACTGAATATATTTTGATATTTGTCTTTTCTTTCTATTGGCAGAAAGAAACATGATTGAAAGAAATTAAGAAGAGAACATCTGTATTTTTAATAGCACTGGGCAGTATATAGAATTTTTATATATTATTATTTATGTATGTTTATATACATATATCCATTTATGACTCACTTGATTATCACTCTAAACCACAAATGAGGAAACTGAATTGCTGGGAAATAATGTGATTTCATCAAGTACCAGTACCTAAATTTCTAAGCTTGAATTTGTACTTTGTTCCCTCAGGCACTTTCATTTAGGTTATGTCAATTTGTGTTTCATATGCAATGTTTATGTATTCCTAATTTTCTCTGTTAAAATTCTAATGTGGCCCTGAAGAAAAAAAAGTTGTCAATAATGGTAGATGATATTATTATTATTCTCTAAGAACAACTGCTTTGGAAAGTGCAGGCCTCCTAGATTTCAAAAGTACAGTCTTCTCGCATGACTACTATGACCCTAAAGTCCCTGAGCACCCGTCTTGAGATAAGGATTACATCCTAATTATTCCTAAGTCTAGCCGCTGGAATGTACATGAGTGTGATCAGAAAGGACCAGAGGTGGAAACAGGTATCTCCCTCAGCCCTTTACCGTCTGATCTGCTCCTCGGCCATGGAGAGGGCAGTCTCAGCAGCCACTTTTTGGTCTCGCTCTTCTTCGGTTGCGGCCACACCCCCAGTAGGGGGTGTGCAGGAGACAGCTGATTGATGTTTCTCTATCCCTCTCCCTTCCTCTCTTTAAAAAAAAAAATCAATAAAATATATATTTTTTAAATAAAAAAATATTCTAATGGGGAAATATTTCAAATTTCTTGTACTTTCTCCACCTCTATAATGTCTTTACCTCTTTGAAATTTTTTTAAAATATATATTTTATTGATTTTTTTTACAGAGAGGAAGGGAGAGGGATAGAGAATTAGAAACATTCATTAGAGAGAAACATCCATCATCTGCCTCCTGCACACCTCCCACTGGGGATGTGTCCACAACCAAGGTACATGCCCTTGACCGGAATTGAACCTGGGACTCTTCAATCCACAGGCCGATGCTCTAGCCACTGAGCCAAACTGGTCAGGGCCTCTTTGACATTTTAAAATGTGTTTTAGGAAGATCCCCCTGTTCTTCAGTGGGGATAGTTTTCCAAATTTAACATTTCGATATATGTTAAGTACATGGACTGTGCTATTGAACATTTTGTATGACACGATCCTCATATATAAATGGAGTTGTGGAGGATAAACAAGAATATATTAGCAATTGTTTACTTCTGCAGAGAACTGAATGGAGTGCAAAGAAGGTTCTAAACATTCTGTTTTTACACTACTGTGAATTTTAAACTTTATAAGGTCAGTTCATTGATTTTATTTAAGAAAAAAATCAATGAAGAAGTTACTAAGTTCTGTGGAAATGTTCAGAGACTGAAAGGGAAATCTACTATAGAATCAAATGGGTTAGTACATCCTGCAATCTGTCCGTATATCTCTCACTGGCCTTTCTGCCTTTTGTCTACAAAACTGCTCATGAAGGGTGATTTTGTCTGTGTCTGTAACTTAATGAGAAGACCCCCCACCTTCTCCCCTCTTTCAATGGTACATGTTTCATCCCAGGTAGAGGGCGTTTCAACAGGTCCAGTTTACCGCAGGATAATGGACAATGGGATCCCGGTGGAGACTGAATAGCTCCTTCTCACCCAAAGGTGCAAACTAACCCATCCATTTTCATGGGATGTACTATTGCAAATCCTGGTAGATGATGCCTTTCCCAGGATGGATGGGGCTGTGTTCCCAGCAGCACAGCATGCTGATCCATGGTGGCATTTGCGGCAACGGCTGCTTCCCTCGACTTCCACGCCTCTATGGAAGGTGCCGTGGTAGGGGTTCCCAATCTGGCATATGGACAGTGGGCCATACTTGTTGGTCATTCAAATGTAAAGCCTGGGACAGTGCTTTAGTCCTCCTGGCTGAAGTCGTTTTACCTGTCAGTAATTTGATCTGCTGCCTAATATTTCGTTTTTTCCCCACTCTACCACCCCCCTGCTGCTTGTGGGTTATAGGAGAGCTAGACCCTCCATTCAGTGTCATGTTCTTTTGCTCAGTTTTGCATATCATGACTGGAAATGTGATCACTGATCACTGCTTCTTCAACAAGGGAATATGCACCTGGTACTGAGGTTATCTAATCCCCTGATGATGGCAACCCGGTTTGCAAGGTGATGGGGAAAGCTTGGTTTAGGCCAGATGAAGTGTTAACACAAACCAGGGCATATTTACTGATTTTTTTAAATATATTTTATTGATTTTTTTTTTTTTTTTTTTTACAGAGAGGGAGGGAGAGGGATAGAGAGTTAGAAACATCGATCAGCTGCCTCCTGCACACTCCCCACTGGGGATGTGCCCGCAACCAAGGTACATGCCCTTGACCGGAATCGAACCCGGGACCCTTGAGTCCGCAGGCTGATGCTCTATCCACTGAACCAAACTGGCTAGGGCAAACCAGGGCATATTTAGAGCCCTCGCTCGGAGAATGGGGGCCAATAAAATCAATTTGTCAATCCCTCACCAGTTTGGAACCCATGGATGAGCCCAGACTCCTTTGATAGCTGCCTTGGGCATTGTTTACAACACTCAGGACATGCTGATACTGCATTAGCCAATTCACTGTATTTCAAGAGCAATCTGGCATCCTTGGCAATATGCCCTTCCACCCAGGCAGTGCAGCAGCCTCTTCCTCTGCACCCAACCTGCTGTATCCTCTGAAGGGTCGGTAGTTAGGGATCATACCTGAACTAGGGCATCAGCTTCCTGATTGCCAGAGGGTGTTCGTGCCTTATGAGCCAGGATGTGAAAAACAGTGAGGCGTACCTCAGGCTCTTGCAGGTGAACCCAAATGTCCCTCCACACCTCCTGACCACACAAGGGCTTACTCATGATCATCCACCCCGTGCTTCTCACTGTCTAAGCCAGTGGTTCTCAACCTTCCTAATGCCGCGACCCTTTAATACAGTTCCTCATGTTGTGGTGACCCCCAACCATAAAATTATTTTCGTTGCTACTTCATAACTGTAATTTTGCTACTGTTATGAATCGTAATGTAAATTTCTGATATGCAGGATGTATTTTCATTGTTACAAATTGAACATAATTAAAGCATAGTGATTAATCACAAAAATGTAATTATATATGTTTTCCGATGGTCTTAGGCGACCCCTGTGATAGGGTCGTTCGACCCCCAAAGGGGTCACGACCCACAGGTTGAGAATCGCTGGAATAGAGTCAATCCCTTTAGAGCAGCCCAAACTGTGAGTGCAACGTTTAATGCCCAGGGCTCTTAAGTGATCGCCAACCAAACAGCCCTGAGTTCAGCCCACTGGCTGCTGTGGTTGATTACTGCTTCCATCCAGATGGTGTCAGTGTTGGGCTGAAGAGTGACTACAGTCCTGTGGATGGATTGCCCCAAGTACACCCACCTACATACCAGGCATCAGTGGGGTTTTTCCTTCTCTCTCTACAGGCTGCAGGAGCTGCCTCAGGAATAGAGGTGAGGACATCTGGAGGGTCTACATCTCTACAGGACCTAAGAGCACTCACATTTTTAGAGACAGTGGCTGTCAGACAGGGTGCTTCTCTGCAAATAGGCATGCCATTTAGTCAAAGTTCCAGCCATGGCAGAGATGGGCCCGATAAAACATATTCCAAACCCATCCCTTAATGGGAAGGGAAGTTCTTATCATGATAGGCTGTTCCTTCGTGAGAGGCTCTACCTGGAGGAGCTCTGTGTACACTGCTAGGAGCTGTTGCTCTGTCGGATATTCTTTGGGCTTCTGTCCCCTTCCCAGAGCTGGGACCAAAATCCTAGGGGCACTCTCTCCTTCTGTTGTCTCTCTGACATCAATGTTTCTCTCTCTCTCCCTTCCTTACACTCTCTCTAAAAATCAATGGAAAAAATATCCTCGGGTGAAGATTAACAAAGAAACAAAAACAAATATGAGAAAATATAATCTCAGGAGGAGAAAGGTTTCTCAAACAAGACATAAAAAACATTATTGAGCCCTAGCCGGCTTGGCTCAGTGGATAGAGCGTCAGCCTGGGGACTGAAGGGTCCCAGGTTCGATCCGATCAAGGGCACATGCCTGGATTGCGGGCTCGATCCCCAGTAGGGGGTGTGCGGGAGGCAGCCGATCAATGATTCTCTCTCATCATTGATGTTTCTATCTCTCTCTCCTTCTCCCTTCCTCTCTGAAATCAATAAAGAAATATATTTTTTAAAACAAAATAAAACAAAAAAGAACATTATTGAAAAGATTGATAAATTAAACTACATTATTATCTCCCTTCAGGAATAGATAAAAGAAACTAATATACACCAATAAAATGTCAAACAATGTAACAGGAAAAATGGGCAAAAGACCTAAACAGACCTTTTCACAAAAGAAATGCAAATACCCAAATTTATGGGCCATCAAAGAAATACCAATTAGAAACACAATGAAATATCATCATATACTCACTCATTAGAATAACTAAAATTAAAAAGATTGATGGTGCCAAGTATAGACAAGGATACGATAACTACCTCATATGAATTGTTAACAAGACTATAAATTGGCAAAATCATTCAAAAAAGAAAAACAGCTAAAAATACACATGCCCTCTAAACCCACCATTCCACTACTCAGTATTTGTCTTTAGAAATATTATTTACACCAGAAAAAATGTACAAGAATGTCACAGCATTGTTAGTAATAACCCTAAGCTAAAAACAATCCAATATCCATCGACAGTAGAATGCATAAGTAGACCATAGCACATTCATAAGATAAGATAGTATGCAGCAATGCAAATAAGCTACAGCTTCCACACAACAAAGATAAATCTGAGATAAAATGGTGAAAAGAGAAGTGAGACACATCAAAATGAATATCATGCAATACATTAATGTTTTTTTAAATATATTTTATTGATTTTTTTTTTTTACAGAGAGGAAGGGAGAGGGATAGAGAGTTAGAAACATCGATGAGAGAGAAACATTGCGTCCTGCACACCTCCTACTGGGGATATGCCCGAAATCCAGGTACATGCCCTTGACCGGAATCAAACCTGAAACTTTTCAGTCCGCAGGCCGACGCTCCATCCACTGAGCTAAACGGCTAGGGCAATGGTCGGCAAATTCATTAGTCAACAGAGCCAAATATCAACAGTACAACAATTGAAATTTCTTTTGAGAGCCACATTTTTTAAACTTAAACTATATAGGTAGATACATTGTTATTAACTTAATTAGGGTACTCCTAAGCTGGCCTTTGCTAAAAACGTCCTCAATCTAATTAAGGTACGTTCGCTGAGGTTGACCCCTTCCAACTCTCCCACCCACACTCATCTTGTATACTTGTTTCAGATAGACAAGTGTGGATGGGAGAGTTGGAAGGGGTCGACCTCAGCGAACGTACCTCAAAACAATGTACCTCCCCCGCGCTGCGTATCCCGCGGCCTGCCTGTTGCCCGACGGACCTACCGACACCCCCCACTTCTTCTAACGCCACTTCTTCAAAATAGACTCCCCCAGGCCGAAAACCAACTTCTGCGCATGGGCCACGAAGTTTCAATCGCACTGTATGTGCGTGCCCGCACGTGGTATTTTGTGGAAGAGCCACACTAAAGGGGCCAAAGAGCCGCATGTAGCGCACGAGCCGTGGTTTGCTGACCACGGGGCAAGGGCATTATGTGTGGTATTTTTTAGGTAAAATTAAACTATAGGCATGCTTAATTCAGTGGTGAAGTTATAAAGAAAAGCAAGGAGTTAAAAAACCATAATAGAATAACCTATTGTTTGTTATTGCAAAACGGAGGGCCCTAACTGGTTTGGCTCAGTGGACAGAGCGCCGATCTGTGGACTGGAGGGTCCCAGGTTCGATTCCAGTCAAGGGCATGTACCTTGGTTGTGGGCACATCGCCAGTAGGGGGTGTGCAAGAGGCAGCTGATTGGTGGTTCTCTCTCTTCGATGTTTCTAACTCTCTATCCTTCTCCCTTCCTCTCTGTAAAAAATCAATAAAATATATTTTTAAAAAAACGGAGGGGACTGTAATGTAAAAACCACGTAAGGGTTTCTAGTATTTATTTTATAACTGGGATTTTGTACTTCACATTACCCTGCACCTTTTCACCCATCCTCCCACCCCTCTGACAACCATCAGTTCGTTCTTTTTTTCTTTTGGTCCTGGTTTTTAATTTAATGGCTATGCAGGTCTGGCCTCTTATTTCTGCCGCTCTATGTGCCCATTGCTTTGGGTCAGGGTTTTCTGCTCAAAGGCATGGATATGGGGAAGCTCTTCTGCCAGGCACAGATTTCACCAGCCGGTGTCGCTGAAGCAGCGGTTTCTCCTCGAACTAGCGACACCGCCAGGACTCGGTAGCTGGAGGCCCACGGATTGGGAGTTGTGGCCTCCACTTCTGAATGCTCTGACTCTGGGTCCTGCTACAGCAAGCATGTCAAACCCACGGCCCGCGGGCCGCATGTAGCCCACAGGAATATTTTTGCAGCCCAGCCAATATAACAGTATGTAAGAAATGTTTTAATAAAAAGTTCCTAACTTAATTTTTACAATATCTTATTATACATAATTATTAATAACGAACTACAATGTTCGCTAATGACTGAGTACTAGAAATCGTGTTGCATTCATTCCCCTTACGCACCTTATGCACAGGCGCACCATTTCTCTCCACTAATACCAGCAGCAAATATTGTAGCAGCCGATTGCTACATCATTAGTCTTGTACTGACTTGTGTGGTGTGCACAACAGGAAATATTTCGCTTTCAGAGAACAAGAGAAATAGGTTTGTTTGCATTATGCTTATTAATTTGTGCAGTTATTCAGTGTCTGGTAAGTTAATGTTCAAGAAAAAATATTAATTTTTATTAAAATGTTCTATTATTTTATGCTAACGATTACACATTTATTTCAGCCCTTGGTATCAAGCATGTCTCTATCAAAATAAACCTACGCTTCTATGAAAATCGAAGCTTGTGTTCTTTTGCGGCCCACATAAACTTAAACCTTGTTTATTTGGCCCGTGTTAGCCCTTGAGTTTGACATGCTTTTCCCGGAGGTACTGGGTGCTGAGGTCCATGGCCGCAGCCTTGGGGCGGCAGCCCAGCTGGGGCAGAACCCCAGGTCCACGCAGGCGCAGTTTGTCCTTTGTATCTCTGAGTGTTTCTGCTTTATTTGCTTCTGTATGTTGTTTTCTTTTTTGGTTCCACCGATAAGTGATATTATGCAATATTTGTCTTTCTCTGGCTGACTTATCTCACTTAACATAATGCCTTTGAGGTCCATCCATGTTGTCACAAATGGTAAGATTTAGGTTTGTTTGTTTTTTTTAAATGGCTGAATGTGTGTGTGTGTGTGTGTGTGTGTGTGTGTGTGTGTGTGTGTGTGGCGCGCGCCACATTTTCTTTATCCATTCAGTCACCACTGACATTTAAGGTTGCTTCCTTATCTTCGCTATTGTAAATAATGCAATTAACATAGAGGTGCATATATCTTTTTGAGTTTGTATTTTCAATTTCTTCAGTTACATACCTAGAAGTGGAATTGCTGAATGTTACGGTAGTTCTAGTTTTAACTTTTTGAGAAATCTCCATACTGTTTTCCATAGTGCCTGCACCAATTTATATTTCCGCCTGTAGGGTACAAAGGCTCCTTTTCCCCTACATCTTTGCATTTGTTATCTCTTATCTTTTTTTATAATAGCCACTTTAACAAGTGTGTGAGGTGATTGTGATTTTAATTTGCATTTCCCTGGCAATGAATGATGTTGATCATCTTTTCTGCTGGCCATCTGTATGTCTTTCAGATTGTTTTTCGGCTATTGAGTTGTATGAATTTTTCATTTATTTTGTATATTAAGCCCTTATTAGATATAGATTTGCAAATATGTTCATCCATTCAGTAGTTTGCTTTTTCATTTTGTTAATGGTTTCCTTTGCTGTGTGTAAGTTTTTAGTGTGGTGTATTTCCACTTATTTTTTTGTTTTTGTTGCCTTTCCCTGTGGTGTAAAAAAAAAAAAAAAATTATCGCCAACACCAATGTCAAGGAGGTTATTGCCCATGTTTTTTTCCAAGAGTTTTATCATTTCAGATCTTACATTCAAGTGTTTAATCCATTTTGAATTAATTTTTATATATGGTATAAGATAGTGGTCCAGTTTCATTCTTTCACACGTGACTGTCCAGTTTTTCCAACACCATTCATTGAAGCATCAAATGTATATTCTTGGCTCTTTGGTCACAAATGAATTGACTAACATGTATGGGCTTATTTCTGGATTATCTATTCTGTTCCATTGATCTCTGTGTCCATTTTTATGTAAATACTATACTGTTGTTTTTTTTTATTGATTTTTTACAGAGAGGAAGGGAGAGAGATAGAGAGTTGGAAACATCGATGCGAGAGAAACATCGATCAGCTGCCTCCTGCACATCTCCTACTGGGGATGTGCCTGCAACCCAGGTACATTCCCTTGACCGGAATCGAACCTGGGACCTTTCAGTCCGTAGGCCGACGCTCTATCCACTGAGCCAAACCGGTTTCGGCAAAATACTATACTGTTTTGACTGCTATAATCTTGAGTGTACATCAACTTAATAGTTTCTTTTTCTGGCATTATCATATTTTTTCTATGTATATGATATATGCATCCTTGTAGATTCCTCAAATCTAATGTGAAAAATCTTATATAATAAAAGCCTAACATGCTAAGTGTCCGGTCGTCTGATCAACCAATCAAAATATAATATGCTAATGATATGCTAAGGCCACTCAACTGCTCACTATGACATGCACTGACCACTGGTCGACCAGTCGACCAGTCACTATGACATGCATTGACCACCAGAGGGCAGAGGTACTGACCTGTAGTTTAGCTTGCTTCTGGGGTCTGGCCAATCGGGACTGAGCAAGATTGGTTGAACATGCCCTGGAGCCCTTCTGCGGTCTCTCTCTGGCTGGCCAACCTCCGGCTCCCCTCCCCAGCCCTGATCATGCACCAGTGGGGTCCCTTAGCCTGGCTTTGCGCCCTCTTGCAATCCAGGACCCCTTAGGGAATGTCGGAGAGCTGGTTTTGGCTCGATCCTGCAGGCTAATCTAGACTAGCCAAATAGATACATAAAAGTAATCATCATGGCTCATCTCTTGTCAACTTGGCACCTATAGACATCTCCTTAAATCATATTTAATCTTCAAATAAAGAAAATAGCAGTCAGCCCAGCCGGCATGGCTCAGTTTGAGCATCAGCCTATGAACCAGGAGATTGCAGTTCTATTCCCCGTCAGGGCATTTGCCTAGGATGTGGGCTGGATCCCCAGTGTGGGGTGTGCCAGGAGGCAGCCGATCAATGATTCTCTCTCACCATTGATGTGTCTATCTCTCTCTCCCTCTCCCTCTCTGAAATCAATAAAAATATATTTTTTTAAAAAAAGGAAATGCAGTCATGCTTCTCACTGCCTTGTGTACAATAAAAAATGTGCTCTTTTCCAATAAGAAGATACAAAGTCTTTGTTTTCCTGCATTCCTGGACTTGTAAATCCAGGCTATGGGAGAAACATCATGTATTGAATGTTGATTTAGAGCATGCACAGTCGCCTGCAGGACAATCCCCCAGCCCTGAAAGGTATTGCCACCTAGCTGGCACTGTAAATGGGCCTTCCAAAGGCCATTCCACCATTCTAGCCAACTACTTCAGGATGATGAGAAACATTGTGAGACCAGTGAAATCCATAAGTATGAACGCATTTGTGACACTTCATTTTCAATAAAGTGAACTCATCGATCAGAATGCTGTGTGAAATACCATGAAGTTAGATTATGCATTCTGTAAATGCACAGATAGTAACTTTGGCAGAAGCATTCATGCAGGAAAGGCAAATCTGTATCCAGAATAAATGTCTATTCCAATAAGAACAAAGTACTGCCTTGACCGGTTTGGCTCAGTGGATAGAGTGTCGGCCTGCAGACTGAAGGGTCCCAGGTTTGGTTCCGGTCAAGGGCATGTACCTTGGTTGCGGGCACATCACCAGTGGCGGGTGTGCAGGAGGCAGCTGATCGATGTCTCTCTCTCATCAATGTTTCTAACTCTCGATCCCTCTCCCTTCCTCTCTGTAAAAAAATCAATAAAATATATTTTTTAAAAAAGAACAAAAGTACTGCTTCTTCCAAGATGAAAGTGGTCCTAAGAATGAACCTGCCACTACATAGATGGCTAATCACCCACTGGGGGAATGGTGCTATGTTGGAGACATACTATTGATCTTTGTTGCTAGCAGATGGGGCACATACAAGAATCAACCAATATATGGATGCAAAAATAAGTAGAACAGCAAATCAATGTTTCTCTCTCTTTCAAATTGATAAATAAAAATTTTTTAAAATACATACATACTCCTGGGAGACAGGAACCTCTAGCTCCTTCTTTCTCTAATCCCTTCATAATATTAGAATACTTTGGCATCCTGAAATATTTTAAGTACAATGTTTAGGTGCATTATTATTAGTATTAACAGATTTATTTCATTCCACTACCAGCAAATTAGAGCAACAATGGTGCTAGAGTTTCTCCTTTTTTCTCACCACAACCACCATCCCTTCACCTTACTCAACTCCCACAACCACCTACTTTCCTAAGTTCCTCTTCCTCATTTTCTAACACCTACTGAGAAACTGAGAAGTCTGTTCACTTCTAGGCCAATAATATCACATCTTCCCAGAGCAATGTTAAACGTTGGCTCTGCTTTGGTAGACTTTTCCAGATGTCTTCCCCTTTCCTGGGGGCTAGATCTAAGAGTAGGAAAAGAAATCCTTTCTTACAGGGGGTCAAAGATGCCCTGAGGGTAGGGTGGGAAAGGGGAGTGAAGCCCGGCTTTCTGTCGGTTCTGTTGCTCAGGGTCGACTGACAATTCAGTTTGATGGTTCCACCCTTCAGACCTCTCCACTAGGAGAACTTCGCATTTGGTACACAGAATTTACTCCTTAAATATTATAAACCTTTAGTTAGAGTAAGACCTGACAACTCTAAAACTGAACCACAAGGAAAAAATGTCTGGTTTTGAGAGTTCTTGTAATTCTCCAATATTGTGAATATCAGTGTTTTGACCACTGAAGCTGTATTTTCCCTATTGCCTGGCACTGTATTCCAGAGCAGTGCTTCTTAAAATTTAGGGTGCAAAGAATTACAGATTTTTTTTTTTTTGAGAATACGTTTATTACAGCTGGAGACAGTGAAACAAGGAAGGGCTCAGCAGAGAAGAAGCGACAGGACAGCGCCTAGGCAGGGCTGCTTTGGCTCACTAGAAGGAGAAGAAGAGAAGACAGGCTCAGGGGGTTAGCCCAGGATGAGCTGCCACTGCCCACTGC